CACACCCTGCGCCTGCCTCCCTTCCCTCCTACCTGCTTCATCTCTTGGTCCCTTCTGAGGGCAGCTGCTGGTGTGGTTCAGATGTTAAGTTGCCCCCACCCGAAGACTGCCAGGCCAGCCGTATCTGGGGCACCCGACTGGGGGAGCTGGTGGGAAGTTGTCTTCTAACCCTTGCAAAGGTATGCTGCAAGCTTCCTGGGCCCAGGAAGAGGGAGAATTTTGACAGTCCTCTGCATGTCATGCCTGTCCTGATGAAAACCCAGCCTCCTCCAAAAACTCACCTTCTTTCTTGGCCCCTTACTGAGAATAAATATATGCACTTCATTCTGCATCCTGCAATTGCTCCACCTGCCTCACCACCTCTTCGCTGCTACAGGTAGTTGAGATGAGTGAAAACAAAGGTTATTCTTGGGCTGAGGGAGTGGGGAGGCTCATACCAGACCAGGAGTTGGAATCTGAGTCACAGGGTCACCGATGGGGGAGCACTTGTCACCCACACCAGGTGAGCTCTTGCCAAAGCTGGCTCTGAGGAAGCCAGTGTCTTCATGGCCATTGCTTGAGCAACCTGCAGTCCTGGGTCTGGTATCTCCTTACTCTTTCGTAAGTTGAGCAACAGACATCTCTGTGAGCACAGAGTTCTCTTTTGTTTGTTCAGAGTTTTTTGGTACCGAGGATCAAACTCAGGACCTTGCGCTTGCGAGGCAGGCAGTGGCACCACTGAGCTAAATCCCTGGACCCCGCTGGGTTCTCTTTTGAAGCAGCAAGTATCTGAATGGGAATCCCACATTTCTCCTACTTTCCAGTTTTTAAAAATTCTACCCCAAGTCCTACAAACATGTGCAGTCTTCACTTACCAATCCAATTAGAAGAGGTTGTCTCTTCTGCTCACATCACTCATGGCTGCTAATATTGCATGGATTCTGCCTTCTCGGCTATAGATTTTAACAATCACAGCCAGAGTCATGTTAACCCCACAACCTCTATCTCCTAGTAGGTTTTCAGCAAGCATTTGTGTAATTGAATTCCTTCTCTGGAAAAGGTGGTGGTCCTCATGCGGAGACATTTCCCTATCACAGACACCATATGTGTGAACGTCCCTACTCAGGCAATGGGCTTTTTCCATGGTCCGGCTGGTGGAGTAGAATGACTGGTGTAGTTTAGCATATGGTGTGAGTTTTCTCCTTCTGTACTAAAACAAGACCTGCATTACACAAGGATGTAATGTGTCTGCCTTACATTTAAGCAACGGCCTGATTACAAATTCGGTGTGGCTGCCCCTTTCCATAGTGTTTCATAAAATAGAATTTAAAATAGAATGAACATGCTCAAAGTCCCAAAACAGAGTTGGACAACTGGAGTCAGCATGTTAGCTTCACGAAGCTTCAGTTTCCTTTTCTCTTAAAGGAGAATGGGGTGCAATGACCTCAAAAACTCCTGCACTTGGAAGATACACAGTCGCTATCTCCATATCAAAACTGCTGAAAGGAAGTCCCCCATTTTGCTGCTGAGTGATTTAATTAAAATGTAAATTTTTTACATCCTTCCAACAGTCTTCCCCGTTGGGAAAATGAGGTTTTGAAATAAGGCCACTATCTCATCTCTAACAATTCTCTTAACTCATTTGTTCTTCAATTTTCTCGGCTTAAAATGAAAATAACAACAGCTGCTGGGTCTCATTTTATTTGAGTTATTTATATTTTTTTTTGGCCAGGACTGCTTTTTCAATTGGAAGTTTCTCTGGACAATTAAGCAAGATAACACAGTTGTAAAATTATCAACTACCAGGGGTTATAAGAAGGTGAGGGATTCTTACTTTTTGATGATTTATTTATGAAATTGTTAAGGGATATAAGTGATCATCAGAGGCCAGAGGCTGGGAAAGTCAGATTTGTTCCTTAGTTTTCTTGATATCAAAATAGGAATGAACTTCAAAGGAAAAGTAATAAATGTGCTCCCCTCTCTCCATACGCCCTTTTCTCCTCCCAACCTTAGCTCCTTCTGTCCTGGGTGCCCCTGTATTGGCTGGACTTCCTGCCATTTTGTTGGTGTTGCGTGCTGTCTTTAGAATGAGCTCTTTTTGCCTATCTGCCCAGACCACATGTCCATCCTTGTGATCTGGAACCGGCTTGGTAGAGAAGCTGGATTTAGGAAACATTGGGTATGCAAAGTACAGTGCTGAACTTGGCAGTGGTGTTGAAATCATGAACTATCAGAGATGATGAGCCCCCTGCCAGGCCATATCGGGAACCTCGTCTCTGGTTTCTTCTAGCTTGTGGATCATCCCTGTAATGCAGACTGGGGAAGAGAATAGAGGAGGTAGGACAATACTGACGCTTCTGAAAGCGTTGCAAAAGTTTCCCCAACTCCTAATGGAGCTGTTATTATCTGACCTCAAGGCAGCAACGAATCGGCTGAGGTTCTGTGGCACAAGGTGTGGTCCCCAGACCAGCAGCATCTGCCATACAGGAACTGGTGAGAGATGCAGGACCTAGAGCTAAGTGCAGCCCAACTCAGAACTTCTAAGGAGTGGAGCCGTGGAATCTGTTTGAACAGGGTCTCAAGAGAGTCCATGCCTGCTAAATTTTAAGAATCTTATTCTGCAGAAATTTAAGAAAGAATAGTGGTGCCTTGATGTCAGTGCAGTGGATCAGGTTGAGTAACAGATATCAAAATAGTGGCTCATGTTTCCCAAAGTCTTCTCTTTCTTCTTGGGACTTTGCCTCTCGTGTACCCAGAAGCTAAAGCTCCCACAAAGGCCGGTTCATAGTCTCACAGCCCAACAAAGTTTGCAGGGCAGCTCTGAACATTTTAAAGGGCAGGGAAGAGGGAAGAGTCTGCTGCACCTTTGCCTCCCCTGTGCCCACCTCCAACTGCCACCAAAATTCTGGTCTCAGGACAGCAATGCCAGTCCCCTCTCATCTCTTGCCTTTTCTTCCACTCAAGTCTCATCCTAGAAGGAAATGCTCAGGACAGCCTAAGGTTGGGTGTCCCTCTGCTGAGAAGACAAGAAGCTCTTACTCAACACCACACTTCATGTGTCCAGAACCCACCGTACTACAGCCCTGCATCACGCACTGAGGGGCATATGTTTTAAGAAGTGCATTGCTACGTGATTTAGTCATGGTGTGAACATCCTAGAGTGCACTACATAAAGCAGATGTTCTAGTCAGTCACTCAGTGGGGTGTCTTGTTGCAACCCAGAGATGGAATAAATACAAAGGTGGCTGAGGCTATATCACCAGCATCATGGAGCAGACATTTTCACTGCTCCCAGCAGTGATGAGTGTGGGAGAGAAGGGACTGGCCTCCAGTGATACCTGAGAAAGGAGAGTCCACAGGACCTTCTCTTAGGACCAAGAACAGATGGGTCCTCAGTGGTACCAACCAGCTGTTCTTCCCTCTCCTCTTCAGGCTCAGCCCAACCCAGCCAGGAACAATGGCAGATGAAGTTCACATGAGCAACACCTTCCTCCTCCTCCTCCTCTTCCCTTTTTCCTTCACCTTGTTTGTTCTTCTCCTTCTCCTTCTTTCTTCTTTTTTGGTTCTGGGGATCAAACCCAAGGTCTTATGCCTGCCAACCATACACTCCACTACTGAGCTATATCCTCCACCCCCAAGTCACTTCTTTTTTTCAGCATCAAAAAGATACTTGTAAATAGTTGTTAAGATTTAAAGATACATTTGTGATGTACTGACTGTCACTTCAGAATAAACATTTTAAGTATAAATTCCCATAAAACTGGCCATTGGATTTGAATCCTTGCCTACTACTCATAGTGACACAGAGAGTACTGCTGAATTTCCCACAGTAACTCTGCTCCCTGGCAATGGGTGAGGATGCGTGTGCAGAGATCTTCCTGGACAGCCCCAAAGGGCATCTGGAATGTGGAGTCACCTGGTGGCAAGCCCTTCCTCAGGAACACGACGCCCCTCTCCCCTGAGCGCAGGATGAGGGGTGCACTGTGGACCTTCCCCAGGTCTAGTCCTTCCCAGCCCATGGAGGACATACCACCCTTCTCTCGAGACTCTAGAGAACAAGCCCCAGTTCTTCTTCGGCCATACTGCTCAGAGACGTGAAAACATGTTTTCTACAAGGCGGAGAAAGCCAGTAAGAGGCAACCAGACTGTCCCAGCCCTGGACCCATCGAGGCCAGAGTGACAGCTGTTTCTGAGGACAGATGAACCTCTGCTATTTCTGAGTAGCTTGAAAATGTCACTAATTCCTCCCTTTCTTTCCCCTTAATCCAGTTTAAATTGGTTTGACTTTTGCATCCAGAAGTTGGTTGGTTCTGACCAACCGAGAGGAAGGACTAAAGTGGGGGCCAGAGCTAGACAGGTGGGATTTGGTGATGAGTGGGGTTTGTTATTAAGTCCATGACTGAGCGCACAGCGGGTAAAGAGCAGAGTAGAAGGAGGTTCTTGAAACCTCACATCACTGGGTACCTTTTTGTACTGGAGCCTTGTTTTTTGTGTCCCCAGAAGTTCATGTTCTGGGAAGTTGGCCCTCAGCCTAGTGGTACTGAGGTAATAGAACCTTCAAGAAGTGGGGCCCAGAAGAAGGTAATTGGATCATTGGAGGCAGTGCCCTTAGAAGGGGTTGATGTAGTTCTTGAGGGTCCCCAATTGGTTCCTGCAAGATTGTTATAAAATGAATCTCACCCCTGGACCTCCCTGGCTTCCTGTCTTGTCATGTGCTCTCTTTCTCTCTCATGTGCCACCATTGTGATGGTATCCACCATGTTGTGATGTAGCAGAAGGTCCTTACCAGATCCAAGTAGATACTGGCATCGTGTTCTTCAATCTCCAGAAATGTGAGCTAAGTAAACCTCCTTTCTATGTGTAGCCCTTGGCTATTTTATTATAGCAACAGAAAACAGACTAACATAGGGAAATGTTTAACTGGTAACTCAGGAATTCGTGTTTCCTATTGGTAAAAATGTTTCAAATTGATTTCAAATGGAAATGAGCAGAGTATCTTTGTCTCCAGGAATTATAAAAGCCTGGTGGAAACACCTTTCTATTTTTGGGGAGTGGATCTCCATAAAGCAGCCAGGGTTGGCTGATGCTCCTCTCTTACATCTGTGCCTGTTCCCAAAGGTCCATCCCTCCATCCTTGCTCCATCCCAATACCACAGTCGATCACCAAGAGATCCAGAGGATAGTGAGGCACCCATGGGCCTTTGAGTCCCATCTGGCTTCCAATCCTGACTCAGGACATCTACAAGCTGAACGTGGTCTCTTCATTCTAAAAATGAGCTACTCACAGCTACATGTAAGACCAGAAAGTGATCAAAACCATGACCAAGTGTCTGGCTCATAGGAAGTGTTTTGTTACAGGTCTTGACAATCCCCTACGTAATAATCCTTGGTAGTAAAATTAAAGATTTTTCTCCCTGATCCCAAGTATTTTATAAAGTGGCTGGATCATCTTGCTCAGCTGGGACCAGTCCGGATATAACTGTTCTGACAGGTTGCAAAGCTAGTTGTGCCAAACGTTCACACTGTGATTCACTTCAAAGGGCCTACTTCCTTCTGTGGTTAAAACAAACAAATGAAGCTGTGTACCAATCTCTCGCTCAGCCCTAAGATTAGATCACTTATAGATAATCAAATGCAGTCTTAAATAACACTGTAAAAAAGGAAAGGAACTTTTGAGTCACTCTATCAGATTCCTATAACATGACAGTAACTTTACCATGGTGCGGAAAAAAATATCAAAATTACAGCCATCTGACACATCTCTTTGATTATAGCTTTTTCCATTAACACATCTCATAAACACTAATCCCTGTTCTAATCATTTTGCTAACATGTTATCTCCAAACACAAAAACAGCACATTAAAAGAAATAGTAAGTTGTGGAAATGGAAAATCTAGATTTAGAGATGACTTGTTTTATAAGTAAATAATAAAGTGGACTCTTCCAGTGACTTTATGCACCTAATCAAACTCTCATGGCCTTCAATTTAGATCCTTCAGTATTTCTGTAAATGCTCGCTGGACAAAGGTCTGGAAAGTTTTTGTGAAGTAGTCTCACTATCCACTGGCTACCAACTTTTCTGAATGCAGCAAGAAATAACACACTTATGTACAGCAAGTTTCATGAAGTGGCTTTGTTACTTACAGATAGTGAGCAAGGGACAGCAGAACCCTACAATTCACTGGGAGCTGTCCCCCAGCCTCAGGGAAGCTTCTGGAGTGGGTGGAATTTCATTCGTGCACACCTCACTGCACTGCAGATGAGAGAGCCTAGAATGCACCCCACACTCGGTTTTATATCCCAGGGCTAAATGACACACTGAGCTAAAGCACTGAATGACAGGAGAGAGAACAGACAATCGCTGCCAACCTCAGGATGTTGCATTCCTAGAACTCCATGGTTATTTTCAGAACACTCAAGGAAGCAGGAAGAACTGGCATGGTCAAGGCCGGTTGGATAACTATCCTACAGCCCAGTGTGACCTTCAGCAAAGCTAGTCCACTGACTATGCCCTCTATCTCCCCAGGTCTGGAGTCAAGGGTTTGTCTTCTCAGATCAGTGTGACATCTTGAGTGACATAATCTCAGCACCATCATTGAGCCACAGCCAAAACACATTTCACTTGGCCCAGGAGGAGTACAGTCATGAGTATGATGAGGATCAGGCTTCCCTGGAGCAGGACCTAGAAATCCAGGACCCTAGAAATCCAGGTAAGAAGTTGCTGAAGAGGTCAAAGAAGGGTGTTTCAGATGACCCCACCTTCATAGTTTGGATCTCAAACGTTCTCCAAAGCCATATGTGTTGATAGGCACCTGTGGGGCTGTTGGGAGGTGGAACTTTTAAGAGGTGGGGCCCGGTGGGAGGAAGTTAGATCATGGAGGGTGTGCCCCTGATGGAGATATTGGGACCCTGGCTCCTTCTCTCTCACTTTACTTTCCAGATAGAAAGTGAACTGTCCTTGTCTGCCATGAACTGCTGCCATGGATGTAATGTACTGCATAGGTTCAAACAACAAAGGCCAAATGACTATGGACTGAAACCTCTGAAGCTGCAAGCCAAAATAAACCTTTCTCTGTATTAATTTTATCAAGGATTTTTTCATAGTGATAACATGACACTGACTTTAACATATTAATTGACATGTTACATTAACTGGTATCAACTGACATGTTAAGTGACATTAACATATTCACTGACTTACATTTATACAGCACCTGGGGTGCTTATCCAGAATAGCAGATGTTGGCAATCCACATTTATAAATAGGAGGCATTGGTACTTGTCAGCCAAGTTTTGTTTTTAGCAGAGTTGCATGAACTCATGCTCTCCTACATTATTGTTTCTGAAGCACCTACACAGAGGGCAAGCACTAGCCCAGTGTTTGCCTTCTTCGTTGCCTCCGGGACACATTTCATCCATGCAAGTAAAGAAAAACTGTGGGTCAGAGTACCAACCCATCAAAATTTTCATTAGTTGTGTTCATGACCTTTTGCCACCGTCATAGTCACTTTCTTTGTTACTGGGACAAAGATAATTGACACAACTTGAAAGAGAAGAGGTTTCTTTTGGATCATGTTTTTGGTCCATAGCTGGGTGGCTCCAAGAAAGGAAGGCATGGTAGAAGGGTCTGGTGGAGGAAAGCTGCTCAGCTCATGGCAGCCAGGAAGCAGAGAGAATTAAAGGAGAAGCCAGGAAGGCAGACACAGCCTTCCAGCTCACACCCATAGTAACCCACCCCTTCAAATCAGAACCCACGTCCTAACAGCAAGTCAGCTATAATGCACCCTTAGTGTAATCAGTTTCCCAACACATGAGGCTTTGGGGTCCACTTTATAGCTAACCATAACATTCCACCTCAGCCCTCAAAAGACTCGTGAACACCTCTTTATGAAAAGTGCACATAGTCCATCTCTCTAAGAGTTGCTAAAGTTTTAATAGTTCTCGGATTGCTGAAAAGTCCAAATCAAAAGTCTCCTCTGAGGTTTAAGGCAAACTCTTAGCCATGAACCTCTGTAAAAATAGAAAAGAAACTTAAACACTACTGACATTCAATGGCACAGGATAAAAATTTTCATTCCAAAAAGGAGGAATAAGGGGGATAGAAAGGAACAAGATCAAAGCCCACCAGGGCCAACACTAAATGCTGCAGCACTATGTCCAGCACCCAGGACAAACTATGGTGAGATGTGAACTCTGAAGGGCTTGGGCCGCCTCACCACTGAGGTATTGCTTGTAGTTGTAGGTCTCATAACTTCTTTCTTGGGCTGGCTTGCTCACTCTTGGATTCCTTCAGACATTCTACCCTCCTGATTCTCCAACTTTCTGGGGTCTCCACTGCACTTGTAGCTTCATTCTCACAGCTTCATGCACTACCCTCTCAGGGGCACACACCATTGTCTCTCAGGCCTTCTTCTGAAATCTGGGAGGAAGCCTCCTTGACGCTACAACTCTTGCGTTCTTATGCCCATAAAACCAGCGTCACATGGATGACCCAAGGCCTGCCACCAACTGGTGGCAATAGCTGGGCCCCCATGAACCATAGCTTCAGAGGCCTCTGAGTGCCTAAATGCCTAAGTACTGTGAAATGAATCCTGGGGAACCAATTCCCTAGGCTGCCAAGCAGGGTACCCCGGGGTTTTCTTCTCAAAGGAAAGTCTTTCACTTTTACATCTTTGAGTCTATGAAGGGTGGAGTCCTGCAAATTCCTCACATGCCCTCAAGTGGTTTTTCCTATTATCCTGATCCAAAGTACTTGGCTTTTAATGCTACTCTTTTCAACCACCAAGCTCTCCTCTGCTCCATCTTTGTGAGTGCTTTGTTTTTGGCAAAATTAGAACTTTTTAAATGGGTTTTTTGCTCCTGTTTCTCATAGTAGATCTTGGTAAAAGCAGCCAGCAGTAACTATGTATATAAGTCAGTCCTTACTAGAGAAACAGATTAAATGCAAGATATAAAAATATAAGAATTTACAAGATTAGCTTACAGTGGCCACCCACAGAGTCAGGTGTGGGAGAGTGCAAAAGATCTGTCTGTGCACTGGAGATCCAAAGGATCCAGTCAAAGTACTGGAGCCCACTGTAGTTCCTATTTGAGCCTATATCAGAAGGCTAAGTGTTTGCATTGGAGGCTGAAGAGTGTGCTGGAGGCCAGGAGACAACGTCGAAGGTGAAGACAAAGACAAGCTCCTCCAAAGAAACAGAAGCAAGCCTTCCTTCTTTGTTTCCCTTTTATACCATTCTGATGACAATTCTCCCTAGGTTGGGTCTTCCACTCCCAGAACTATGCTGAGCCAATTTAGTTGGGCATTTCTTACTCAAGTTGATGCAATCAGTTAACTGTCACATGATGCTACAGCCTAAATGTTGAATTGCCTTAAAATTACTTCCACCAGTTTACTTAATCGGCTGTCCTTAATCTCAGTCTCCTGCAAACTTTTAAAACAAGAACAAAATGCAGACAAATTTTCTGCCAGAGCATAACACACATGGCCTGGAGTTCAACTACCAACAGAATCCTTGTTCCCAGCTGAAACCTCCTAAGCCTGATCTTTACCGTATGCTTTGCTCTCAGCATTCTGGTCTTCTGAGCTCTGACTTGAGTTTCCCATCAAGCTCAGCTCACCACACTCTAGGGCTGCTTCCCCAGCTCACATCTCCCAACATTTCCAAACTCCTCCTGCAAACCACTTCCAGAGGCTTCTAAACCACATGGTCAAGTACAGGCACAGCATGATCCCTCTTCTCTGTGTGTCATCTTGACTAAAGGGGCCAAAAGAACACCAAGTCGGGTACGTGAAAGCTCTAGTATCCAAAGAGGCTGGTCTCCTTTTTATTAATAGGTGCTGCCAGGGCCAACAATTTTTGTTTGATGGTATCTGAGATATATTGTGGTTTCCCTCCCAAATGCTGTTGGCTTTCCATCTGTAACAGTCCAATTTTTGATCTCCATCCCCCAAAGACCTCTTTAATCAGTGATGTTGTCTGTCACATTGTGACAGGGTGATCTGTAAGATTTTAATCTGAGTTAACATAGTAATGTCCTGTTCTCTACTTAGTGGGTGCCATTGCTTTTATTGAGTAGCCAACTGGGGTTTGAGTGCCTTGGGTGGCTGCAGGAGTGGATGTGCCTTACCGTTATAGCACCAGTTCTTACCAGGTGGTGGTGGTATTCTATGCCACAAGCAGCCAAAACATCAAAGCCAGTCGTGGAGAGAATCATGGTCACCATCAGCCAAACGACCCCACCACAGATGGATAAGCACCAATGTGTTCATCATAAAACCACCTAATCAGGTTATTTCCCCTCCCTCATCTTTGCCCCTGTATCTTGACAGGAGAATAGGGCCATTGGCCTCTGATAGGGACTTGGAGACCTTGGCCCCTCCTATAATTGTGTCATTCCTTTTGGGACAGCAAAATCTCTTGTCTTCCTTCATCGAATATCCCAGGAGTCAGGACAACATGCCCCTTCTTGGATTTTGCCCACATTCCTTCTTCGGTCCCTGCTTCAAAGCAGCCCACTCTGTGCTTCGTACCCCAGGACTCACTGAAACGGTGAAGGACAGCCTGTTTCTAGGGGAGTTGGACACAGTCTGGGCTGTTCTAGTCAATCCCACCAAATCTCAGGGAGTTTCATCCCCAGAATGAGCTATAATCACCCTTGAGAACTGTAAGTGAGAGACAGGGAAGATGTGGGTCATTCCGAGGCCACGTGGAGAGCTGTCCACCAGCCTTTTCTCACCACTGCACAGCACATCTCTGTTTAAATCCCCATCTCATCACTGACATGGTTGCTTAATCATGTTCATTTCGCATCCATTTTTACCTTAATTCCTTTAATGGAGATTTAATGTGTAAATTTTGAAGAGGCAAAAGACAAAGAATGAACTCCTAAGTTAAAAGGACACAATAAGTAAATGCATCGTAATTTCACACTCTTTCAAAATCTCACTGCAAATTTTAAAAAAGTATTGATGGGCCAGGGATTTAGCTCAGTGGTTTCGCTGCCTGCTGTGCAAGCGCAAGGACCCAAGTTCGATCCCCAGTACCAAAAAAAAAAAAAGTACTGAAAAGCACATGAACTCAAAAGAATAGAAAACAAAAGTAAAAAGTAGTTTTTTATAAAAAGCACATCAAACTACAGAGATTGGGGAAGCCATAGGAATGAGAATAGGAAAGGAGAAAAGATGGATGGGTGGTACCCAGCTCATCTGGATCCAGAAAGGTATCTTTGAAGCCAATGAAAGCCAGCAAACTGACCCACAGAGTCCTCTAAAGTCTCAGAGTCAGGCAGCACTAGGTACCTCTGGGATCTTCTGATGGAAAAAGGAGGCTCAAATAAGGACATTTGGGTGAAGGTTCTTGGAGAAGTAGTTAAATGCCAAGTCCTCTCTCCTTTACCATGCTTCCGTGTAACTGCCCCTCCTGCACTGGAAAGAAATCTGGAAAGAGAAAAACAAAGGACCTTTGGGCTGCAGGGAGATTAAGTGACTTCATAAAAACTGAATACCAAATAGACCCACTTCTTTCTTCCCTATTTGCTTTCCAAAACATTAGCCCCCAGACCTTTAATATCAAGGGAGGAAGTCAGGAGTCCCCTCTGGGATTCTGATCAATTGCAAGAGGAAAAATGCTACTGACGAAGGCCTGCCCAGAGCCGCTTTCAAATTGATAATGCCCACCTGAGTGCTCAGAGTTTTGATCAGTTTTTGCCCCTCATTTTCAGTCATAAGATAACCAGCAGTTGTTAGATATTTAAGCAAAATAAAGTTCTAGAACAGTGAGGTTAAAAAGAAGATCATCCAGATTTTTAAAGACAATGTTCACATGCATAGGAGCAGAGACTTTTCAATGGCAACACCAGAAAACAGAAAACAATGGAGAATTATTACCTTCAAAATTCAGAAGGACAATGATTTCCCAAGTAGAATTCTAAACCCCAACTATCAATCAAACCTAAGGGTAGAATAAATTATTTTCAGACATGTAAATGATCAAAAACAACAAAATTGCCTTCCCTGATCATTTCTCAGGAAGCTACTGGAGGAAGGCT